TGCAAGAAGAAATGATCACTCGAAGATGTGTGCATCGTAGCCGTAAAATGAGGCACATACACCCTTGTGCAAATTAACGGAAACAACCGCTTTAGTTTTCTTTCTTTCACCATATGGTCAGTTTTAGACCCACTGGAGTGACAGGGTCAAATGGATTTCTATTTTTTCTCAGTGGTGTGCAGTAATATAAACCTATTTTCGGGGTGTATGATGAAATTTTTTTGATCTTGAAAAATATTGTCATCCGTGATTACATCAGATTTTTATCACATCCAGACTATTGTCTCGACTGTCGATTAGTTGTCCTACAGCCATTATCTGCGATAGAAGTTACTCCGAAGAAGCGTAGGAAAATTGTAACGCTACACGAACACACTGGCAAGCCTTACCAGTGAGCAAATCAAAGTACTATGGACTGTCCCGGAAACTCTCCTGATTTAAATCCAACCGAGAATATGTGGTCAATCTGCAAGGATCGACTTCGTGGACGAAGTACTAACATGTGCACTGGGTCATGTTTCACTGGAAAAATACGGGAAAAAGTAAATAATAACGGAATTATTCGTTTTGATTCAATTAATTTGCACAAAGGGTGTAAGTCATCAGCGGCATTTAAACAATCTTTTTTTTATTGGTAGCAAGGCTCCCAATATATGTCAAGAAAATATTCCTCATAAGACTGAGGATAAACCTTTCCAAAAAAGAAACTATGACCTTGGATTGGAATGAGAGCCATGATGGCACCGACCCTGAATTCATTATAAAACTTCATGATGTGGAATTAGTAAATACTAAACCCTTCAAATACCTCGGTGTATGGATCAATTATATCAAATTTAGTATTGGAGATCAGGAAATGAAACATTATGCCTCACTAGGGGGGTTACTTTTACCGAAAATCACAAGTTGCTACAAAAACAAAACATTTAACCTAAAAACTTGAGTCATGTTCCGAAATCCCGTCGTCAGATGGAGACTTTCATGTGGATGTCATGCATGGCGACAAACACATCCAGAAATATCTAAACTCTCAGCTTTGTATCTATCTGTGTTGTGGTAGGATCCACCTAATTTGCATAGTGGAGTACCGACCATAGAAATATGGTTGGTACCGGGAAGAGGGGAAGGAATCAAGAGATTCAACCCCAGACTCTGCCCGACTGCGACTCAGTCAACACATTCTCCAGGAACGGTCTTACCAGGAATATACAAAAGACTATATGTAAATATTGTGTACACGTTCTTGTTTCAATACATTTTGTTCTAAGTACATTTTGTGTTGCATTATTATTCCATGAATTAGTCAAGTTTCAACAATATCCTATTTCTCATATCAGTGGTTAATACGTCTTTGAGCAAGTGCAGACGATGGGATGGATCTTGGTGAAGACTACACGTCTTCGAACCTTGTGAACTGGTGCTACACAATCACAAAGAACTATATCTCATAACCGAAACATCACTTGAGGACTTTCAACAGAAGCAACAGCTAAAATGGATATGAAACGGAACTCCAAGAGAAAATAACGAGTTGGTGAGGATGTTGACATTTCACACTACTTCAAATAAAAGGTTAGGAAGAAAACCTTGATCAATACTAGAAAGAGTGATAACAGCTACTGGACACGAGAAACCTATTTTCCTGAAAAATTATTTTAAGGGAGATTTTTTTAATAAATTTCAACCGACATTAGAACTGGCTGTTTGCCCAGTGACCGCTGAATGTTTCCTTATAAGGAAACATCTAATATTGCCATACCATTTCTCTATTACTACAAGCAGTTTGAACAATTTTACAAGGCTGGATGGATCCTCAAATGATTTGGGTTCATGGATTTTGCATAGGTTAGGATAATATAAAACTGACGTTTATTTTTAAGTCAGTATTTTTTTTCGGGTTTGGGGGATAGTTTGGTCTTATATAGATAATCAAATTCTGGATCGTTCCCTTACGTAAATTCAAGACATGTTCAGTAGGTATCAGGTGGTGTTCAACAAAATCGTCATTCTCAAAAAAAAAAGGAAAAGAAAGAAAAAAAAACCCTCCCTAATCGCTTCGTTGTATAGAGACGTGTTATCACTGTAACACCTTTTGCCACATGACAGATGAAATATTTGGGCTAGCATTAGACTTTCTACTCAAACAAGGTTTTCCCGTAGCTCCAATACCACACACATGCACACCTGCCAAGGCTCCTCGTCTGAAGGAGTGAAAGCATATTCGTTGGCTCATCTGGGGGATTAGCAAATGGATTTAAATTATTCAGTAATGTGTTGTCAGAGGTCGGTTAATCTGTCAGTTCGGTTTTGCTAAAAGTCTGCCAAATATCTGAGGTTTGGAACTTTATCTACGGAAATCAGAAAATGAAGAAAAGAAAAACAAACTAACGCAAACATACCTACGCACACAGCCATACACATGCACCACACGTACAAGTACACGTATAAACATATAGACGTATAAAAGCACACACACATGCAGAAAAATATACACATATACAAGAAAATGACAAATATAAAACGATACATGCACACGTAAAGATACACGTAAACATATTAACGAACACACGTGAATGTGTATAGATAATGCTTGTGATTCGATTTCGTGTAATGCGATCGCTTCATACATCCACAGATATAGGCAGTAAGTATGTGGCTTTTTAGTTCTGCTAGAGTCTTAAATACTCTTGCTTAGATGTGGCAACCTTACGTGATTTTTTGTTCAGTTGTTTTTACATATATGCCGCATAACGTGTAATGAAAGTCTTTTCAGTGCGATGATTTTTAAGGTCTGCCCTTATGTCTATACGGTCACTCAATTCTCTTTTTGAACAGTTTTTGAAATAACACGGTCCAACAAAAAGAACTGACTTTTTTTTTTTGACACTATTTTTTTTTTTTTTACTTTAACACGGTTTAAACATCTGTTCTTGTGAGACCAGCAAATTCATTGCAAATAAAACGATTAAGTAACATCAATCAATTATAATTTACAAAATGCCGAAAATCTACATAACATGATTAAGTAACAATTTAGCGAAGTAAAATAGAATCTAATCATATTTTTTCCGGATAGTTATCCCCGACTTACTGGCCTGGGCGGGGACCTATGCACTGTATATACATAGTATTTTAGTATTTAGTTTATAGTAGTAATGATGATGAATTGGTTCCACTCTGTGCAAGTAGAATTCTAGAAGGCCTCCAAATAGCCAATAAACTTGGAGATCATTTTCTTACAAATGATAACAATGTTGAACGAACTGTACAATTCCAACATGATTTGAAAATGATTATGGCCCGTTATGAAGAATTATATAAAGAATTACCAAAAGCAAAATCACAGCGTCTGATAACCGAATTCGTATTCAAAACCAGTTAAACGAAAGAAACACGATAGGTACGCATAATTTCTATGAAATTTCTTGGACTTTCAGGCCAATAAATGTTGTTACATACAGTTTATTATAAACAGAGAATTTACTTCAATATTTGTGTCTATATAAATAATGTATAACAATGAAATATATTAAAATAATTGTCGTAGTGTGTGACGTCATTTGTTTACGTTAAGATTCGCTTCGAGCAGATATGGACGTTCGAGGGAAATCATGGGAAATTTGTAGTTTAAAAGCAGTAAATCGACATAGCTAACCAGACACTTCCTTCGTAGCTAAGCTCGTATAACACGTTAGGCTATATGACGGTTCCGTGTAGGATACAGGTTCGATTCCTGTCAGAGGGCGTATATTTTGTATGAAATGTCTCGAACGTTCAGGCCGGTAAATGTTGTTAATATACCTTATTATTAACAGAGCATTTTCTTAAATATTTGTGTCTATATAAATAACGTCTAACTATATATATATATATATATATATGCCATGTCCCGTAAAGACGTTGGCGATCATGGCTCTCCACAATTTCCTGTTCTTTATAGCTCTTAATACATGTTGTTTTATTATTTCACCTGATCCCTGTCCCGCCACCCAATTACTCAAGCTCTCTTGGTAGATTAGGCGTTGTTTTCCTCTAGCCTTCAGTATGTCCTGTGAGTGTCAGATTTTCCAAGTCCGCTTTCCTCATTATGTGCCCAAGAAATTTCAACAATTTCTTTTTAAGTGTGCATTTCTGTTGTCTTACGTTTCTTCTTTATTTGTTGAGGGTTCACTGTCATACAGGAGGACCGATATTACATAACTTAACATAACATAAAGATACAAGGATTACGGCCACATCACGTTGATACACCGGTTCCTATAGGATCACGTTAAGCAACGTCTAGCCTGTTCAGTACCTAGATGGGTGACCGCTTGGGAATACCAGCTTGGATCTGCACGTGGTGGAGTGATTAACGGCTTGCAATTCTTAATCGCAGAACCGAGTGCCAATTCCAGTTGAGTTCGTTAAATTGAATTACGCGTAAATACTCTTGGAGAAGGCATGAATCCACCTCCTCTCTATGGGTTAATTAGTAAGACTTGTATCACTAAACCATTATTATCGCAAAAAAAACTTCTTATAATAAAAATATTTTCTGGCTTTAAATAACCTGCAAAGGGTTGATAGACCGTAGAAAATGAATTAATCAATAAAAACACAACCAAACGCAGATACACGCGCATATATAGATTCACAAATATACATATCCACACAAATATTTAAATATACGCACACACACACACACACACACACACACACACACACACACACATATATATATATATATATATATATATATATATATATATATATATATATATATATATATATATATATATATATATATACACACGTACAAACATACAAGCGTAAACATAAATATATAACACACAAACACACAAAATGTCACTAAAAAAAATTAAATTTACTTTGGAGTGACAACAATTATAACAACGAACGCAGACACATACATATACATATACGCACACAAACATAGAAACACATATATACACACATACATAGAACAACCTGCACATACAAACGCGCACATTTTAGTTCGGTCCTCGTGCGATCACTGAGGTTAAGCAAGGTCGAGCCTGGTTAGTAACTAGATGGGTGACCGTCTGGGAAGACCAGGTGTTCTAAACTTGAATGCGCGGTTGGTGTAATGATTAACGGCTAAAAATCGGAGATTGGAGAGATGAGTTCCAGTTTCAGTCGGATTCGATATATTCGCTTACACGTAAATACTCTTGAGAAAGATAAGAATCCGCCTCTTCTCCCCCAAGATATGGGTTAATTAGTAGGAACTGTATCAGGAAATGATTATGATCTCTAAAATATATCACAATCTAAAAATTATTTCTGGTTTTAAATCGCCTGCGAAATGGCGATAAGATGTAAATGCAAATCAATCAGTTAAACATTCGTTTCAGTTATTCGTTCGTTAAATGCGATGAATATTTAAGACGTAGTGGACCGTGGCTCTCCACAATTTCCTTTGCTTTAATATCTGTTTTTTGCTCTGGTTTCCAGTTTCCGTTTCCACAATGTTTCAATACAAACCCAATAAGTCTTCTGGCGTTTGTCTGGTGATGATACATAAAAGAATATTACAAACAAACATATCTTTAAATATGACTTTTCATATCTGAAGATAGATGTCTGGACACACCCAGTGTAATAGATATGATATAAAAAAAAAAAGTTAAATTCATGTTTGACTTGTAACTTAATCAAGCAGGCTTATCCCGCTATGGATAAGGTTTAGGTGATTCAGGAATACAGGTTAAAAATAAAAATAGCACACACACACACACACAAACAAACAAACAAACACTACTATATATATATATATATATATATATATATATATATATATATATATATATATATATATGCGTAATTAAATGTATTTCGGGTATAATGCGTTTTTTCACATAAAAGTTGGTACATATTTTTTATATTTTTATTAACCCAAAATAAGGCTCGAGAGTAACTCAAGGTAGAGAATTCGTAAAAATAGTAGTGATAAATGTTTGACCTGTAGCCTAATGAACCGAACTTATTCTGCAATGTGTAAGAACTAGATGATTCAAGAATACAGGCTAAAAATAAAATTCATAGATACATATTCACTTCCTATTCTCTTTGCCACATTCCCTTCCTTTCTATTCTTCATCTTCGTTTTCCCCCGTTTTTCTTCCTATCTTTCTTCCCCCTTGTCTGTTTTTTTTTTTTTTTTTTTTTTTTTTAAATTTATCATCGATTGAGTGTTTGAAAAATCCTGCAAATTTAATTTTTTATTTTACAAGGTGAAAATCATCATTTACATAATGGTATCTTAATTCCGATTGTGTATATATATATATATATATATATATATATATATATATATATATATATATATATATATAAGGCTGGCTTTAGACTACTCAGTTACGAGGAGACGCATATATACAAGCTTGGTTCTATTTGACTTAAAACAAAATCTCCCTGTTCAGATTTTTCTCGAAAACCGTATCTGCTAAAACTGAACCTTGCTTTGATATGATTGATACTATCTCCGACATGGTATGGGGTGAGTAGGTATTTACCTACCAACGCCATGATCAGCCACAATCGGTACATCCTACAAACATCTTAAAAAAAATACAACATTGATAAATTGTCCACGTTCTCTCATCCTCTTCACAGATAGATACACACATACAAATACACACAAACACACACACACACACCCACACACACACACACACACACACATATATATATATATATATATATATATATATATATATATATATATAAATAAAAAAAGAAAGAACAGTAAGATATAAAATCCGGTGTTCTTATAGATATTTTTATTTTTACAAAATAGTCCTCAATGTAAATTTACAGAGCATTAATATTATAAATTAATTGATTTAAAATATGTTTTTTTTTTCGCTACACAGTTCCAACCATGTTTCAAAAATAGAAGCTAAAAACCCCGAATTTAATTTTGCAATTAAATTAAAAGCATTAGTTCCATTTCATCTTCAATTCGCTTGAAGATGAAATGGAACTAATGCTAATTAATTGCAAAATTAAATCGGGGTTTTAGCTTTCTATTTTGAACATAATTTGGAACTGTAAAAAAAATAATTAAAACATTAGTTCCATTTCATCTTCAATTCGCTTGAAGATGAAATGGAACTAATGCTTTTAATTTAATTGCAAAATTAAATTCGGGGTTTTAGCTTCTATTTTTGAAACATGGTTGGAACTGTGTAGCGAAAAAAAACATATTTTAAATCAATTAATTTATATATATATATATATATATATATATATATATATATATATATATATATATATATATATATATATCCAAGTACAAGGTTGGTACACATGGAATAAAATTCCAATAATCAAAAAACAATATTCTTAAAAGAGTGCTCAATACCGAGTACAGCAAATAATATTTATACAAAACTATAACATATGCATATATATATATATATATATATATATATATATATATATATATATATATTCAAAATTATAACATATGAATATTTATAACATTACTACAAAAATTGCAGTTTTGTTTCAACACTACTGGTGTTTATCAAGTGATGGTGTTGATTGCTGATTGCAAAATAATATATATATATATATATATATATATATATATATATATATATATATGGTTAAAAATACCGTGGGTAAATAATCCAAGTAGATCCTATTAATATAAAATATTAAAACTGGTTCACAAATCAGAAGTCAATTTAATTTTTATTATAGAGCTTATGAGTGAATTACAATTAATAAGATCCAAACAATTTACCTCATACAGATCATCATTTCGTCCATGGAAAAGTGGTTTTTCCGTGGATTTATCAATGCAAATACATTTACTAAACGGTTTTTGGTTTTAGTAAATGTATTTGCATTGATAAGTTCAGGGAAACAAACACTGTATGAGGTAAATCATTTGAATCTCATTAATTGTACCCCCCACACACACACATACACACACACACACACACACACACACACACACATATATATATATATATATTAAATAATTAAATACAGATACCAGCAACCAAGCATGCGTGGGATCATGCGCATGTATAAATTTTCAAATACATTTTTTATTCAATTTTGGGTGTTAACAAAAGAGTGCTTCATCTGGTATTACAGAGCTATAAAGTATATATTAAGAAAAATAAATATTACCTTAGGTCGATATTACGAATCCAAGTTTCATGTTAAATACAATATTCAGGCGAAGATAATGGTGACGAACTGTGCTTTACAATCGTTAGGTTTTTCAAAAATTGCGTGTCTCGTGGAAGCAACGTTATACAGTATGAGTATATTAATTCTACGTTTACAACTACCTGAAGATTGTATTTAACATGAACCTCGGAGTCGTACTATCGACATAAGCTTATATATATATATATATATATATATATATATATATATATATATATATATGCACTGTTACCTTAGAACATGTATCATTTACATAACCACTGCAAAACTGTACATCTTGTTTCACAACGTTAAAAAGTACCATCATCATGGTTTGCCACCTGAAGAAACGTTAATTTTTTAACGTTGTAACAAGATGTACAGTTGTGTAGTGGGTATGTACATGTTCTAATGTAACAGTGCATAAATGAATATTTATTACTCTACTTTTGTATTAAATAAATATTATTGCTCTACTTTTGAACGCTGAACTATTACCCTTCGTTCTTTCACAGTTGTATATATATATATATATATATATATATATATATATATATATAGATAGATAGATAGATACAATATCAGTGGTCAATATATATATATATATATATATATATATATATATATATATATATATATATCTGTCTGTCTGTCTGTCTCTCTCTCTCTCTCTCTCTATATATATATATATATATATATGTGGTGTCCCAAAAAATTTGACATCATTTTAAAAATTATCTTGAAAATTATCTATCAATAAAAAGTCTAGCTCAATGAAATTGAACAATTTAGGTGTTGAACATCATGAGTTTAATATGCGACCGATTTCATAAGTGTTCAATATGTGCGCCGCCTGTGACACGGCACACGTCAAGTCGGTAGTTAAGCTCTTAACAAAAACGATGTAGCATGTCTCCAGTAACATTATCCAGTGCGGAAGTGATTCCCTGCTTGAGTTCATCAATGCTAGCAGAGGGTGGGGGGGACATAGACCAGTCCCTTCACATATCACCATAAAAAGAAATCACACGGGGACAGATCCGGTGACCGCGGCGGCCATTTCATCAGAAAACTGTCTGGGTTCTATAGCCTTAGATGACAACTGGTCTAGGAAAAGGACAACTCTGAATTCAAAATCTGCGTTTGGGGACCTTGTGACACGTAGTGCACCAGGTCTCTGTATTCGGCCCTTCAAAAAATGTGGAAATACTGCACAAAACCTTCACCAGTATAATCAAATCTCATGCGCTTGTGTCGGGCTGTTGGTTCCTAGGAACTGATACTGATCTACTTACACTCATACGTCGAATTCGACAGGAGAGTCGAGTATATATATATATATATATATATATATATATATATATATATATATATATATATATATATATATATATATATATATATATCATATAAAGTTGGTACGGATAGCTTTTTTTAAAAAGTATTCCCAAAAACAAAACTCGGCAGTGACTGACAATGGAGTTAAATTGTTAATGTGTCCAGTGGGAAGCGTGTGTCTGCTCCGCAAAGTAACGATCCTTGATTTTCTCCTTGGAACTTTCTTTTTTAATTTGAAACACGGGGAAGTAGCACAGTGTGCTCCAGCTGAACTGAATGGTCCCCATCTGAACATATGCAATATGGAAATAGCGATAAAATAACGATAAGTTTCCGTCAGTGGATTGGCGCTACACAATCACAAACACTAAACTGTACCAAATAGCTGAAACGACATCACTTGAGGACTTTCAACAGCAGCAACAGCTTAAATGGATAGCAACAACTCGAAGAGAAAATAATGAAATAATTGAGATATTGACATTCCACAACACTTCAAACAAAAGATTAGGAAGGAAACCCCCGTCAATACTGGAAAGAGCGAAAATATCTA